ACATATCACTTGTTTAAACCATATAAGTTTGAGCTGGATCACAGAAACAGTGACAACAGTAAAACACAAATAAAGCTGGGCAAAAAACAACAACTTTGGTACCGCAAAAAAAGTTTTTTTCAAATAAATCCTGGAGCAGTTTTTGAATCTGCTTCTTTTTTCTTTGCAAGGATGTTAAATGAAACTAGAATTTCTTTGCATTTCAAATATTTAATCAAAGTGGCATGGTCAGTGGTAGACAGAAGCCAGAATGCAGGCAGGGCACAGGGATCTAAAAAAAAAAAAAACTCATTTGTTAGAAATAAAAATGCTGATGGGGCAAACTCCGATTGAAAAACTTAGAAACAGAAACAGAGAGTGTGAGGAGAGCGTGRCGTTTAAAAATGCTCCAATGGGAAGTCACAGACAATGTAGGAACATATGGAGCGGGACTGATGAAAACAAATAAAAACACATAAAATAACATCTGGCATAAATACAACAGGACAGAGTGAGCATGGCAGGAGCCGAACTGAGGTTCAAGAGGAAAAACTACGAAGAAACTGACAAATACTGGAACTCAGGTAAGTAAATAAAACACAAGAATCACAAAAAATAATACAGAAACATAAAGTAAACTAAGTTTTTTTTTTACATTATCCTTTTATAAATTAAAACTTGCTATTGCGATGACACTGTCCATGAAAAGTGTGTTTTGAGACAAACAGACAGATGAGTCACTCACTCACCTGTCTGATGTGGAAAGGTGTGAAGCAGACAGTGAAGATGATCAGTACAGTGGTTAGCAGCTGGACAGCCCTCCTCCTCCTCTTCCTAAACAAATCCAATCAAAGTCACCAATAAGGCCTCATGTCATACATTGATTTTAATGCTTCAGAAAAAAACAAAAAAAATTCTTGGATATAAATTGCTTGCATTATTTATTTATTTTTTCTAAAATGTTCTTATACCTGCTCTGCTGCATGAGGCGGCGGTCCGTGAGGGCCCACATGATCCGCAGCGTGAAGGCCACAATGATGACGAGGGGCAAGAAGAACTCTGTGATGGTGAGGAGGAGGAGCTTGGAGATGCAGCAGCCTGTGTGCTGGAAGGCGGTGGACAGCAGGGAGTAGGTGACCACGATGGCAAACAGCCAGACGGAGAGGCACACACACTTGGCTACGCCAGAGTTCCTCCAACGGCGGGAAGCTTCAACCTGCAAAAACAAAGTCAGTAAAAAAACTTTGGATTCCTTTTTTTTTTAAAAGTCAAGCACTACAAAAGTTTCAAGTTCACATAACTTCAGGTGGGGTTTAGTCTTCTGTTGTTGACATCTTTTAAATCATTTGTTCATAAAACCTGTCTGTGTTGCTATAGTCATAAACCCCTTTATCAAACTAGAATGGACTGCTGTGGAAGCTGGAGGGAGGCTGTGAAGTGCATTGTTTGCATTTAAAGAGGCAGCCTCAAAATGAGTTGATCCAAGTCACACCTCAAAGGGGTGAAAGAGGGGCTTGTGGAGTTACAAYATGGAGGAATTCACACCAGTGTTTTGCAATTCCACTTATAGACTCCAACTGAATGATTTAATGTGAAAAATAAGGACTTAAAATTATAGAATAGAATAGAATAGAATAGAATAGAATAGAATAGAAT